AACCAGCTGAGCCACACCAGCTAACTCTTAGCACTTAGCTCCAGTGTTTGCTTAGGGGTTGTGTAAGGGGGTTGGCTGTGTTGGGTCAGTCCTTTTATTATGCGATGTGAAATAAGGTCATGTGTTTCCAAAGGACCTGCATTCTGGTCCAAATGGTAAACCAGCTGAGCCACACCAGCTAACTCTTAGTCCCAGTGTTTGCTTAGGGGCTGTGTAAGGGGAGGTGGTCATGTTGGGTCAGTCCTTTTATTATGCGAAGTGAAATAAGACCACATGTTTCCAAAGGACCTGCATTCTGGTCCAAATGGTAAGCTCCCATTGTATTTTTTTTAGAAAGCTTGGGAGAACAGGCATTGCCATGCTAAGTATGAAGGTCTATTGATTTTTAATATTAATGGTAATTTTGTTGGCCTTTGAGAGATCTGTGTAAAGAGATTGCCTTTGTTGCCCTGATGGTGGAGAAAATCATCGTTGCCAACGTCCTAATAACCATTCTCTGTTCCACCTAGTTTATAGGGAGGGGGCGGGGACACCCAGAAATTTATGCCCTGGGTGTCATGTAGCGGTGAGGAAGCTGAAATTCGCCCCCCCCCCCCTTGATTTATAAATAGCTTTTACTCCCTGATCAGAATGAATGCTGGGAAGAGTAAGGGCTGCTGAATCCATTTGTATCCCTTGTCAGGTCATTCTTAGAAGGCTAATGAATCCTTGCGTGGTGGTAACAGTCATCACAATAATGAATTAGCTCATTTTTATAGGTTATTACGGAGTAAAACTTCACGCTCGCGATCTCATCTGATAGGCACCGTCGCCCCCACAAGTTGAGTCGTACTGTGCTCATTAGGAAACTGCGGCTCAGAGAGGTTCACCTACTTCGCCAAGGTCACACAGCTGATGAGTAACTGGCAGGGCTGGAACTGCTTCTCAGCCAGCATTCCCCCCTCCCTCCCATACAAGGTCACGTCTAACCTTCTTTGTGTCGCCAAAGCCCGTTCTAATCAGTTATAAAACAGCACAGTGTCACTGTGAATGGCATCATCCAAGTTCAGGGTGGAAGGGATGTATAGAAATCCTATGATCCAAGTCCTTAGTCTGGTTTAGTTCTGCCCGAGATGTAAATGTAAAGAAATTAAGTTTATGTGCATTACAATGCTTCGTAATAGGAAAGTGCTCTACAAAAGCCGGGTGGTTAGTAGACGCTCGTTTTCCTGTTCGTTTACACAAATTCCCTCTCTCTTATTCCCCACTTCATTCTGCCACGTGTCTCGGGCATCTTCCTTCTCTCACGGCCCCTTTATTCCCATCGAAACTGGTTTATTCCCAGTAAACTCGGTGCATAGAAGTTTGGACTCACGGGATTGATAATACGGGCACCGCGTGAACTTCACAGCACCCAGAGCCTCCAACCCAGAGACGCACAGGGAGGTGTCTGCTTCTCTGAGCTGCTTCCCTGAGGCCAGAGCCTGCCCATCCCTACGCAGGGGCGGGGATGCTTGTGGTCCAGGGAGCAGGGGAGGCGGCCAGTAAGGTGGAGAGGAGACCCTGGAGTTGGCAAAGGCCTGAAAATATGCCCCGTGGGCACAGGGCTGCCGATGTGAGTACAGTGACCAAAGGCCAGGTGACGGCCTCCATCCAGGCCTCTTCCTTTCTAAACCCCCTCGACTGGGTCTCCTGGGGTCACTTTTCCTGGGTAAATGCAATCTATATCCTATATAAATAAAGCCTAACATGCAAATCAACCAAGCGGTGGAGTGACTGGCGGAACGAACGGTCGCTACGATGCACACTGACCACCAGGGGGCAGACGCTCAATGCAGGAGTGCCCCCAGCCCACAGGCCCCATGCCAGCCAAGACAGGTGCGAGCCCCCCAATCACCCCACTGGTTACCCCACAGAGGGAGGCAACTGTCGGCGGCTGTAGGAGGCAGGGCCAGTGAGTGGGTAGCACCAAGCTGGCTAAGGTGGGTGCCAGCAGGGACCCACTGATTGCCCTGCTGGTCACCCCAAAGATTGGCCCTGATCTCCAGCCAGGCCTAGAGACCCTACCCATGCATGAATTTCATGCACTGGGCCTCTAGTACTATATATAAAAGCCTAAGCAACTGTTACAACCCGTCTACCAGTTGCTATGATGTGCACTGACCACCAGGGGGCAGACACTCAATGCAGGAGTTGCCCTCTGGTGGTCAGTGCACTCCCATAGCCAACCTCCCACAGCCCCTCCCACCAGCTGGCCAACCTCCCGTGGCCCCTCTTCCCACCCCCCTCCACCCCCGCTGGCCAGCCCCGATGGGCCCCACTCAGTGTGGCCAGGCTGAGGAACCCCACCCATGCACAAATTTGTGCACTGGGCCTCTACTCCTTTCATAAGAAAAGATGGCCGTGAAGGAAGGTTGACTCTACATGAAGGCCCTTTACAAACACTTAACACCTCAAATCAGAACGTGGACAGACAAGTCCCCGCTGCACACCCCACCAGGGGCAGGGGCAGCGTAGCCGTGAGTCAGGCTACAGTGTGCGCGGATAGAGAAGTCGTATTTTTTAAAAAAAACCAATGGCCCAAAGCGACTAAAGTGAAATGAATTCACATCCATTTGTGTGATGAACAGCCGGAACCTTTTCATTATCAATATTAATGGGAAGATTTCATTACTTAACCATCCCTGGGTACAGCTGGGATGCAGACTACATTCGGCAACCAGGGCATTCGTTATACTGGCTGGATAGCAGTTTTGGGTTTTGGTGTGTGTGTGTGTGTGTGTGTGTGTGTGTGTGTGTGTGTGTGTTGAAAGAGACAGAATAAACCATGGCACATGGTTCCTGGGTGGGGTGAGAGCCTCCCCTGAGGTATGAGACAACATTCCACAGCTCCCAGGCCCCTCGTCCCTGAGGATTCTCACCCTTGCCCTAGCCAGTTTGGCTCAGTGGATAGAGCATCGGCCTGCAGACTGAAGGGTCCTGGGTTTGATTCT